TGATGATTATGGCTTACAGCTCATGAAAACCCCAAGAACCCCAAATCCACAACCTCAAAAAAGTAGATTATTACATGCAATCAATAAAACAAGGATTGTACATAGAACAATATCGGACCTCTGAAAAGTACAAGCATGCATATGTACTCAGTACTTGGTTTGGGCCCCTTTTGCAGCACTTACTGCAATTACTTTTGCACGATATTCTAATTATTCGAGTTTCACCTGTATATGGTAATAACATTGGCAACAAGTCCCATTTTTACCAGCCCAGCTGGATAAACATTATCTAGGTGACAACCTTATACAAAAGTAAAAAACTACTTCAGCTCTGAGAAAAACAACAACAACCTCTGCTCAAACAAACACAGGACCAGAATGGCCAGCTTTGGCCATCAAAGGTAGAAGGACTTTCCAAACTGATTTATGCACCCCAAAGTACAGGTCACCTGGCAGCAATGCAGGGAAGAGGGAATAAATACATATTTGTACATCCTGCAGGGTGACAGGGTCAGAGTGGTAAATAAATACAGCGACCCCCTGGATTTTAGGATACGTTAATGTAGCTACATGGTTTTTTTTATAGTTGCACCCTCACCCTGCAGGCCACTCTATGTTCTTCCATGGCCATTTACAGTACATCTCCACACCATGTGGCACCTCATTGTGGACTGCTCCTTCTTCTATCACTTATTCAATGCTTCTTTAATGTAGATCTCCACACCATGTGGCACCTCATTGTGGACTGCTCCTTCTTCTATCACTTCTGCACTCCTTCTCAGATCCTGATCTCCACACCATGTGGCACCTCATTGTGGACTGCTCCTTCTTCTATCACTTATGCACTCCTTCTTCTCAGATCCTGATCTCCACACCATGTGGCACCTCATTGTGGACTGCTCCTTCTTCTATCACTTATGCACTCCTTCTTCTCAGATCCTCATATCTGTTGGTGAAAATGACGGACTGAGCAAAATGCACAATTATCTATCTCCCCAGCCCTGGAGGCAGTGACCGTACCTGCTGGACTCAGCGACACTAAGGGGTTCATTAATGAAAGTTCTGCCCAGTATGCTGTTTACACAGTACTAGTGCTATTGACGACAAGCGCATGAAAAAGCATGGCTGTTGATAACAGGCAAACAGGGCCGGATTTTCCACAAGGCCACTGGGGCCCGGCCTTTCGGCGACAGGGGTGTGGAATTCCTATCTCCCGACGCCCGGGACATGCAATCCTGGGCGCTGGGCGGGTAGTTTCTTCTACTTTGGGCAAGCAGAGCTAAATGTATAGCGGGGAAGCCGCCGCTGGTTTTGTCAATGCCGCCAAGATCACTTGTATGGG